CCCTGATATTATTAGCCACTTAACCTCCGGCAGTGCTGTAGAAATTGTCCTCGTTGGTGGTAGTGGTAGCGGCGGCGGCTCATGGCATTGTACCATGCTGAGGCCCCTCCCCTCCTCAAACCCCTCCTTCTCCTGGATCCACCCCCAAAGTCTCCAGGTATTTTCCAACCCAGACCTGGCAACCCTACTGTGAAGTGATCCAGAGAAAGTGTCTTAACTTTATGGTTTGTGGTACAGAAATGTCAGGGAAAACCCAACAATTTAAATTTCTAACCATTTTATTCTGTAAACTGTCTCGAAGGCCACAGTGAACAGCTGGAAAGGTGGCCTTCCTATATGGTCAATAAAGAACCTATGTTTAGAAAGTCATGGTCTTTTCCCTCTCTGACAGAAACGGTGGGCAAAAGTTGAAACCATTGCTCCGCCTTTCCAAAATAAAAATATGTGATAGATTTTTCAAGATGGACAAAGCACCAGACCTGAAGGATGCTAAGATTCGATCCCCATATCCTCTTAGTCCAGAAAGAAAGCTTTGGCAATTACTGTTGGGGTGGCGAGGTTGTCTACAAGCCTTTAGGTGTATAAAAAAAGCTCTGATCTCTGAAGCACTACCTTTACTGCTGCCTAGGATAAAGTACAGAGGTGAAACTGAAAAAACTTGCTGCTAAGGAAAATTTGCTGCCAATTTTTAGGCCGGGGGAAAAGGACACTCTTGACCCTGGAGACCTTGAATGTTAACTTTCAGTAGACAGTGAGATTTTATTGCCAAATTCCACATTCTGGATAACAAAAGGTTTTCACATTGCAAACGTTTGCATTTTCCCTTGCTGCCTCCATGGCCGGAACTCCTTCCCACAATATTCTGTCTTTCATTCTCTTCTACTTTGAATCCTTCTTCAAAACTCAACTTTCCCACAAAGACATTTTCAATCTCCCTCCTCAAAAATGAATCTAAATGCACGCAATCACATTTGCTCGCATGCATTCTTTGTTATCGTTGGTTTCCCCTTCTTTGGAACACACGAAGCTGCCTTCTACTGAATCAGACCTTGTGTCCATCAAGATAAGTATTGTCTATTCAGGTTAGCAGTGGCTCTCCAGGTCTCACATCACCTTATTACCTGATCCTTTCCATTGGAGATGCTGGGGATTGAACTTGGGACTGTCTGCATACAAAGCAGATGCACTACCACTGAGCCACAGCATTTCCCCCAGAGATCTAACAAGATCAGGTTATCCTGGGCCATCTTGCTCAGAGCCAAGCTCATGTATTAACATAGTTGTAACACCATCTGCCAGATAATGAAACTGAAGCTCAAATACTTTGGCCACCAAATGAGAAGGGAGCACTCACTGGAGAAGACCCTGATGCTGGGAAAGATTGAAGGTCAAAGAAGATGGGGACGGCAAAGGATGAGGTGGTTAGACAGTGTCATCGATGCAACGAACATGAAATTGAGCCAACTTCAGAGGACAGCGGAAGACAGGAGGGCCTGGCGGGATTTGGTCCATGGGGTCGCGAAGAGTCGGACTCGACTGTGCGACTGAACAAAACACCATCTGTGTGGCAGGCATGACAAGGCTTTCTTGGTGGTGGCACTAATACCTCTTGGATTCCCTGCCCAGGGAACATTGTATGGCCACCTGCATTCTCACATTCAAGAAACAGATACAATTGGGAAGGTTTCTATCTCTGGAGTATTGGTTATGTTCCTGTTATCTCATGCTGTTTAAAGTTTAAAGTATTTTAAGGGCTTGTGAACCATTTCAAGAGTTTTCTACTGGGAACTGGGACAGTAATCCAATCAATCAATCAGTCATTCAATCAATCAGCATGTACATTGATGGCATGATATAAATAATGGATAGGCATAAAACTTTCCAATTGATAGATTAATAATTTAAAGCCTTCGTTGATTTGGTAGGAGCTAAATTTAACTTGCAAGACCAAATTTTTATCAGTGAGGCCGCAAGTCAGTAATAATATTTAGTATCTGTATAGCATATCCTGTATTCGAAGCAGTTCACTTGCATTATCATAGCAGTCCTTACAACAGTCCTATAAGTTAGGCATGTAGCCCTGTCTCCATATTGCAATTGGGGGAACTCAGTCTGATAGAGTGGCTTGCCCAAGACTACCTAGTGAATTTGTAGCTGACTTGAATGTGCAGCCTCTCGGATCACAACTAGGGTTGCCAGCCTCCAGGTGGGGCCTGGAGATATCCCAGTAAATTGGTCTCCAAACTACAGAGATCAGTTCCCCTGGAGAAAATAGCTGCTTTGGAGGGTGGAGACTCTATGGTACTGTACCCCACTGAGGTCTCTTCCCTCTCCACACCCTGTCCTCAGCCTCCACCCTTCAAATCTCCAGGAATTTCTGAATCCAGAGTTTGTTAACCTTAATCATAACTCCATTTAAAACAACAGGACAATAAAATCAAACCCCAAAACATAAGTCCAGGTCACCCACAAAGTCTACCAGAGCAGGATGGTCTTTATAATTGTAGTGTATTCAAAGCTGCCTTGAATGGATGATATGTTGTGAAACATCTAATTGAAGTGTAATGTAAAGCTTCGTCCTGGGCTAGGATCCAAATCCATCCAATCGTGTTACTAGCCCAGGAAGCACCTAACCAATCACTTTCAAACAAGCTCCCTGAGCGGGAACATCTGTGATTGGTCCTTATGCGAACAACCTTATTGGTTGGTATTTGTACAGTGGGTGTGGCTACATTAGCCGGGAATGTTTAAAAGCAGGACAGCTGCCATGTAAAGGCTGTTCTGGCTATCTGATGTTGATCCGTGTTGAAGTTGTGTTCGAGTTGAAGAATAAAGTTGTGTTCTTGCTGAATTACTCTCCGACTGCTTTGTTAAATGAGCGACTTAACAATAATCCTCCCAAAGCGTATGCCCTGACCTGGATGGTCCAAACTAGCCCGATCTCATCAGATATCGGAAGCTAAGCAGGGTCACCCCTGGCTACTATTTGGATGGGAGACCACCAAGGAAGTCCAGGGTTACTACGCAGAGGCCGGCAGTGGCAAAACACTTCTGAGCATCTCTTGCCTTGAACCCCCTACGGGGGTTGCCATAAGTCAGCTGAGATTTGATGGCACTTTACACACACACACACACAAAACACCTCATAGGACAGGCTAGAAAGTCTTCCCCATGGAAGGAGCCACCACTGAACAAGCCCTGACACTCATGCTTCCCACACTCTATGTTGGAAGTTCCGTGGACAGAGCACCACTGCTTTTTTAAAAACTCAAGCCATACCATAAGTGATACTGAATGCAAATTTGTTTGCATGACTGGGATTCTGTGTGTCTTACCCCTTCTCCTGTGCATTCCCTGCTGCAGTCACATGTGCTACCATTCCCGTGTTCCCTGGCCACGAGTTTTGCGATTGTGCCATCAAGTGGTTGAAGAAACAATTGCAAGCAAAAATCATAACCAGCTGAACTCTTGAATGTGCTGTCAGATGTTCAGGCAATTGAGTGGGCAGCACAGACAAATGGAGCCCTGCCAAGAAGAGGAATAAGTTGAGCCACAGTCACATGTTAAAGTCAGGCAACGCTCGATGAAACATGTGTACAATGTCATATTTTGGTTCTCACCACATATTCAGGGATCTAATTCAAACTGGGATTGTGGCATAAAGAGAGAGCCCCCCCCCCAGTGCCACTTTCTTATTCAAAGATCAACTTCAAGGTAGCTCTGTTTGTGAAAATGCACTTTTACAAATATCAGGTGCACATATATTTTCACAACAGGGCAAACAGTGCTCTCCTAGGACTTTTTTTTTTTTTTTAAAGGCATGGGAGGGAGGCTTAAAAGCCTTCTCCCCTCATTCTAACATCCCCCATCCAAATCAGGGCTCCTCATGCCTGGTGAGTTTGTAAAAAACAACAACCCAGGAACTGCTGGTGTATTACATTACTCCAGGGCTATTTTTGGGCAGGAACGCACAGGAACGGAGTTCCGGCTGGCTCCTGAGTTGGCCACACTCAGCAGGAAAAAAGGAACTCATTAGCATAATAGGCCACACCCAACAGCAGAAACTCATTAGGATTGGCTACATTAGAGGTGTGTGGTGTAATATGCAAAGGAGTCCCTGCTACAAAAAAAGGCCCTGGGTTTTGACAACAAACAAGGTAAACAGAATAAGGAGCAAAAGGTGGGTGTGGCTGGATGACCACACTTCTGGCAACATGGGGCTGCGTCCTAGTATGCTAATGAGCTGTGGTGTCAGGGTGTGGCCTAATATGCTTATGAGTTTCAGCTGTTGGGTGTGGCCCATTATGCTAATTAGTTCCTGCTAATTACTCAGTCTGCATAGCTAGGCCTCAGACAGGAGACTGAAATTCAGAACAGAGCCTTAACTGATAGTGATTACCTTGTGGTAAAAGGAGACCTTGTAGGCAGAGAGCCGGTCTGGTGTAGTAGTTTAAAGTGTTGGACTAGGATCTGGGTAAACCCAGGTTTGTATCCCCACTCTGCCGGGTAGCCTAGACCCATGTTTTAGAGGTCAGTGGCAACGCAACATCGCAGGCCCAGGGCTTAGTAAGGAGAGGTCTTGCACACAACCACAATATTTTGGGATAAAAAAGGGGGCCACAAGTGTTCTAGGTAGCCTCAACAGGGGCCGGAGCCATAACTAGGTGCCTGAGGCAAGAATATGAAATTGCGCTGCTTGTGCTTTTATAGTAATTATCTTGGTTAAAAGGTAAATACATAAAGAGCAAGGGTAATAATAACACGGCGGGAGGGCGGGATAGAAATCAAATAAATAATAAATAATAATAATAATAATTTTAGTCACAATACACTTTTTTTGGTGCCCCTCAGCTTTGTGAACCTACCTTGTTACAGCTCTGACAGGGGCTCCAACAAGAGGGAGAATTATATCTTAACAAGGAAAGATAAAGGATGAAATTGCTTGGTCCAGGACGTGTTTGTGAGTGTGTATTTATTCAGTTCTCCTTTATGTCTTTCAGCTTACTTGTGTTTCCTAGTGACGGCCCTGGGAGTGACAGCAGGGGCCCACCGCCTGTGGAGTCACAGATCCTATAAAGCCAAACTGCCTTTGCGGATATTCCTGGCTGTGGCCAATTCTATGGCCTTTCAGGTGGCAAATTGCTCTTGCTCCTCTCTGCATGCACTTGACTAGATTGCTACATTGTCCTTTTGATAACTGGCTGCTGAATGGAGAAAGAATGCAGGAAGTGAAGCCTTGTGCCTGGGGTTGCCAGATTTGGGTGGGGAAATACCTGGAGATTTGGGGGGTGGAGTCTGGAGGGGCAGGGTTTGGGGAGGGGAGTGACCTCAGCAGGAAGTAATGCCATAGGGTCCAGCCTCCAAAGGTGCCGCCTTCTCCAGGGGAACTGCTTGGTGTTGTCTAGAGATAATTTAGAATACTGGGAGATCTCCAGGCCTCACCTGGAGGTTGGCAACGCAATGTGTGCCTCTTGTGAAAGTTGTATGCATGGGTTTCGCGCTGCAATCACATGAGTGCTCTTTTGTGGTCACCGAGAGAAGAACTTGTGTCTGTGCGGGAGCAAGCCTGTCATTTGCCAAAATCTTGTCCTGGGGCAGCAGACAGAAAACAGGGCAAGAAGCAGAGGTCGATTTGGGGGGGATCGTGGGGGATCGCAGTTCCCCCGGGTGAGGTGCAGGGGGCGGGGCACACAAAGAAGCCCCGCCCCCTTCTTCCAGCCGCCCCTGCTTCCAGCCTCATTCTGTTGCAGAAGGAGGAAGAAACAGGAGGGTAAGTTGGCGTCCTCCCCCTCTGCCTGGCCGAGGCCACCTTACGTGGCCTCCGCAAGGACTCCCAGCCCCATCCAGGAGCTTCCCCGAGGTAGCTGTGTTAGTCTGTTGCTGCAAAATAGTCCAAGAGTTCAAATAGCACCTTTAAGACTAACAAATAGCACCTTTAAGAGTAATCTTTAAGACTAAGACTAACTGAGTGGTGGGTGTGGCCTTATGACACACTTCCGGTGATGTCAGGGTGTGTGGCATATGCTAATGAGTTATGCTAATGAGTTCCTCTAGCTCTTTTTCTACGAAACGACCCCTGGCAAGAAGGAAACACTAAATCCTTCCTCATTGTGACCCATTCAAAAGGCGAGTTCACTTGACTAGTTTGTTGTGCCGTGGAAGATCGGTTTGATGGGTCGCAGCTGCTAGGAGCTGCTGGTCACCAGTGTATCCACCACTGACTGGACTAATTGTCCTTCCCCTGTGAGTAGAGTTGCCCACCCCCAGGTGAGGCCTGGAGACCTGCTATTGTAATTGGTCTGCAGACTATGGACAACAGTCCCCCTGGAGAAAATGTTTGCTTTGGAGGGTGGACTCTGTGGCATTATATCCTGCTGAGGTCTCCCCCCTCCCCAAACCCTATAGCTGCTCCTTGATGGCTAAAAATAAAAAACACGAGGCCACATCCAGACATTCATCTTAGAAAATCACTCCACGAGCCCTATTCTTCCCAGGAGGATGGCCTCCTCTGCTTTCTAAACAAAAATATCTGTCACTTGGTCACTAGTTGGCAACTAATGTGAAAAATGTGTACAGGGCCAATGTTTGATACCATTTGACGAAAAATGATCCTCAGATGCAACTTGTTGTTTGAAACAACAGTGAATATGATGGCTCTCATAGGGTTGCCAACTTTGTGTGGGGAAATTTCTGGAGATTTGGGGGCAGAGCCTGGCAGGGTGGGGTTTGGGGAGGAGAGGGACTTGGGGAGGTATAAAACCATAGAGTCCACCCTCCAAAGTGTTGTAAAATAGTCAAAAGTATTTAAAATACTCAAGAGTATCAATGGATCTTGCTCTATTGGAAAGAATATATTTCTTTGCTTTTAAAAACCTTTATTTCTAAGGGTAAAAGGTATACAGGAAACCTATGAAATAACAAAATTCCTAAGAGCTACATTTTCTAAGCTGCCTATTAGGGGTCATTTCCTGCAGGAGCACACAGGAGGGGAGCTCCGGCAGTAAAAAGCCCAAGGGGCAGGCACATGCAACAAGCCCCACCCCCTGCTCCCAGCAGCCCTCAGTCAGAGCAAGAAGCAGCCAGGTAAGCTGCAGAGCCCCCCCCCCGGCCCAAAACAGTCCAGTGGCACCTTTAAGACCAGGGGTGATTTCTCATGAGAGCTGCCTCGCAGCACAGCGCTGTTTGCCTCGACACAAACGTGTCAATTTCACACCCGAAGCTCCGGGGCTGCATTTTGACTCGGGGCTTCGCCCGATTTCCTCCGCAGTTTCGTGATCCTGGTTTTTGAGGATCATGAAACTGCGGAGGAAATCGGGACACTTCCAGTGATGTCAGGGGGTGTGGCATATGCAAATAAGTTATGCTAATGAGTTATGCTAATGAGCTCCTGCACCTCTTTTTCTACGAAATGACCCCTGCTGCCTACAGTTCAACCATTGTTATACACTGACAGATAACGGAGAATCTGTCCTTCTTCTCGACCCCTAGACAGGAAGTCACCTGGAACAAACAACCAATCTGTATCACGATAGAAACTACTTTTCCTGGCCTAATTCCCCATTGGCTCTGTGCCAGGTTTCCCTTTCAGGTCAGTCTAAACAATAGCAATACTAGATAAACAAGTTAACCCTATAACGACTGGATTGTCAGACCTTGTAAACACATACATTTCAAACACAAAGCAGCCATTTTCTTCAGGGGAAATGATCTCTCTCATCTGGAGATCAGTTGTAATCCTGGGAGCTTTCCAGATCCCATCTGGACACTGGCAGCCGTATCCAACATGAAACCAGATTTGTCATTGACCCTTATTAATTTTTAAAAAAAATTCATTCATTTCCTCTGAATAATCATGCCTTCAAGGTCTTATTAAAGATTATTTGCAAACGTAGTATAATATAGGAGCTGTGGTGGCTCAAGTCGTTAAGACGCTGAACTGCAGGCTGTGGAAGGTCGGTAGTTCAGCAGTTCGAGACCCGAGTGTGCCGCATGACGGAGTGAGCGCCCGTCTCAAGTTCCAGCTCCTGCCAACCTAGCAGTTTGAAAGCAAGAAATTGCAAGTAGATAAATAGGTACCACTTCGGTGGGAAGGTAACAGCATTCCATGCCGGCCACATAACCACGGAAACGTCTTCGGACAGCGCTGGCTCTTCGGCTTTGAAACGGAGATGAGCACCGCAACCCTAGAGTCAGATTCGACTGGCTTTCGAGCAAGGGAACCTTTACCTTTAGTATAATATAAGCCCAGTGAGTTACTTATTTGCTGCAGGGAGGGAAGAGAAGTGGCAAGACGGAGGTGGCACCTAACCCTTCTCCACTGCTGTTCTTTCAGCAGAAAACCGAGCCAGATGCTTTTTGCACTCGTTTTGTTACAGATGTTGTGTGTATTTCACAAACTCATTTCTGGAGCAGCTAGCCATTGTCTTGGTAACCCTTGATATGGCATAAACCCTGATTTTTTTTTCTGTGGTGATTTTTTTTTAATGTAGTTTAAAACTACAGTCAGGACTAATCAAGAGGGATTCAGGACTCCCTGCTATGGAAGCTCCCTGGGTGATCATTGGCCAGTCACGATCTCTCAGTCTAACCTACCTCATAGGGTTGTTGTGAGGATAAAATGGAGGAGAGAACAAAGGAAGTCACTTTGGGTCCCCATTGGGAGAAAGGCAGGGTATAAATGTATTAAATAAATATGAAAACACACAAATAAATAGCCCCACTGTAATGATGAAGTGTTTATGCCTTTGTAATGCCTCCTTCTGCTCTCCGCACAGAATGATATTTTCGAATGGTGCCGAGACCATCGAGTGCACCACAAGTACTCAGAGACGGATGCCGACCCCCACAATGCCAAGCGTGGATTCTTCTTCTCCCACATTGGCTGGCTCTTTGTTCGGAAGCACCGAGACGTCATAGAGAAAGGGAGGAAACTGGACTTCAGTGACCTGCTGGACGACCCTGTTGTTCGGTTTCAACGGAAGTGAGTGAAATGGGGGGGGGGTCTGATGTAGTGGCTAAGTGCGTGGACTCTAATTTGGGAGAACTGGGTTTGATTCCCCACTCCTCTACTTGCAGCTGCTGGATAACCTTGGGCAAGCTCTGGCACAGCTGTTCTTGAAAAGAGCAGTTCTGGAAAGAGCTCTCTCAGCCCCACCTACCTCACAGGGTGTCTGTTGTGGGGAGGGGAAGGGAAAGGAGTTCGTAAGCCACTCTGAGACTCCGAGTGAAGGACGCGGTATAAATCTAATCTCCACCTCCTCCTCCTCCTCCTCCTCCTCCTCCTCCTGAAAAACATTGGGCACTTCTTGGCCTCTGTCAGATTGAGTGGTTTACACAGCTTAGTGTTCCGAATCTCAGATCTTCAATGGCAAGGCATTATTTATTTGCGAGTTTGGTAGGTTTTGCTCATGGAACTTCTAAGATGGCTTGTGAAGTGTTTCATTGATTTAAAACTAGGGTTCCTGGCTCCAGATTGGAAAATATCTGGAGAGTTGAGGGCTGGAGCCTGAGAAGAGCAGGGTTTGGGGAGGGAAGGGACCTCAGTGGGGTATAATGCCATAGAGTCTACCTTCCAGAGCAGCCATTTTCTCCAGGGGATCAGATCTCTGTAGACTGGAGATCAGTTGTAATTCCAGGAGATCCCCAGGATCCACCTGGAGGATAGGAACCCTATTGGTAACCCCAGCTAGGATCCTGGTGATCTTGGTTCAAATTAGGCCTCCCAGACCTCCCTCTGGCAAGTTTCATTGCCTGCACCCACTTGAAGTGGCGGTATGAGAAAAATACAAAAAACCACAGTGATCTCACCAATGTCACTTTGTCACTGACCTCTGTCACCTGGAGATCAGTTGTAGTCCCAGGAGACCTCCAGCCACCACCTGGAGGTTGGCGACCCTAATTTGAAACATTTGCATCCTGCCTTAACTCTGTAGACACAAGGTCGCTAAGGGAGCAGTGCGCTGCAAACACATGAAAAGAATATCACCCGCTGCCTGTCCAGGAATAAGAGATTTAGTTTGTTTCATTTGTGAAGAGTAGCTTGTATCTCTTGGGAATTTTCTGAGGTGATTGAGTTTGGTTAAATCATTAAGATTACGTGGGATGTGAATCCTCAAATATGGTAATGGTTTGTCCGTCCACTGGAATGTATATGGCGTGTGAATATTATGCTCCACTCACTGCGATAGATTTATTGGTAAGATGTACGACTTGGATTCGTTGACTTGAAGACCAGATACTTGTCCAGATTTCTGAAGATGGTCTTGAAGATACTTGAGAGATGTCTTGGGATTTGATATGGAAAGTAGCATATCATCTGCAAATAAATTTAGTTTGAAGGTATGTGGTCCTAAGGTAACTCCAGCTATATTTGCATCATGTCCTATTGCCTCCGCTAATGTTTCCAAGGCAAGCACAAACAATGCAGGTGATAAAGGGCATCCCTGTCTAGTATATCTGCTTAGAGGGAAAGTCTTGGAGATGATGCCATTAATCTTAAATTGTGCTGTAGGCTTGGAGTATAATGCTGCAACTATTCTCAGGAAGGTGTCTCCAAAGCCCATAAAGTGAAGAAGCTCCAATAGGTATGATGTCTCTAGGGAGTCAAACGCTTTTTCTATATCAAGAGAAAGTAGTAGAGTATCTGGGTATTGGAGTCGCAGGTGGATAGGATATACATAAGAATGCTCTACAGCCCTCTAAATCTTCAGAACCTATCTGAAGTAGTGAGCAGTGACTCACAAAAGCTCATACCCTGCCACAATTTTTGTAAGTCTTTAGGGTGCTACTGGACTCTTACTCTTTTCTGCTGCACTGATCCACAATGTATTATCACAAAATGCACAGGAACACATCACAGTAGTGCTCCTCCTGCCCCTATCAAAAGACCCCACCAAAATCAATTGGAAAAGTACATTGTGTGTGTGTGTTCTTGATAATTATGAGCAGCTTTATCAGTGATTTTCCAGTTTTCTTGCAATATCTGTGCAAACAAGAAGTACCAAAAACGGTCAAGGAAGAGGGAAAAACAGATTGTGTGATTCAGCTCTGAGTATCTTTAAAGTATTTTTACAAACTGAATGCATAACTTCAGAAACTTCCCTGGCTGAGCAAAAGACGGCAAAGGGGATTAAATAAAACTCATACTGGGGGGGGGGGTATTCTCTTCCCAGAGGCAAGCAGGACTGACCACCCACCAGCTCCTAAGAGATCGGCCAATACAATACAGACCGTTTTGTGCCAGGAGCCGAGAACAGCCAGGTGCAGTGTACAAAGGTGCCTGGAGAACAGATTAGTCCAGGTGACTCGGACATGGGGGCCCATGCAGGGGGATGTTTCCAGCATCCAACTAGTGTAGAGCAAGTGAAGATTAATCATTTCAGTCATTGTAATACCTCTAATGTGGTATATGCCTGTGTATGTGTATGCAAATTGGTCTACATAGGAATAAGTACAAGACCTATAAAAATTCGCATTCAGGAACATCTATCTCGTATTAGGAACCAGGTGGCGTCTGCTCCAATGGTTGCCCATTTCAAATCTGCAGCACACAAACCAGAAGTTTTTAAGTTTATGGTATTGTTTCATTACAGATCACAATCCTATAATCAAGTGGATATATCCCTGGTTTTATTACAAAGAAAAGCTGAATTTATCTTCAGGCTACACACACTAATTCCATCAGGATTAAATCAGGAATTAGACTTGAGTTCTTTTCTGTAAATGGTCAGGGTACCATTAAAATAGAACATGCCATCTTAAAACATAACACCTGTTGCAGCCTACAAATTTTCCATTGAGACATTGTGCCACACTGAGGGAAGCTTAGCCAATTATTATATGCTGTAGACCCAGTCACATTAGAGCTTGCTATAGGAGCTCCCCAGTCACCAGGTTGGTACATTTTAAAATGTTCTCTTTATTTTTGAAATTTTTTTGGTATGTGTTGTCATTGGAGAATTGTGAAATACATATTGTGCTTGTCTGCTTTTTTCTAGAATCTAAGCACGGTAGCGTACATAAAAAAATTGTATAAGAATTAGCATTTTGAAATATGGGTGAGTTTATAAAATGTAAAATGCTCCTCTATATATTAGAGTAATTCTTATGTTTTTGGTTATTAAGCATGTTACACTCCATTGCAGCTTGCAGCACTTCATTCTAATGAAGAAATAATTACAGAATGACAAACCTGAAGAAGGACACGCAAACGGATAGTGTACTAGAACTCCGACGTTTGTCTGTAACTAGTACTGTATTACTCTGTATGTACTGCTAAGCTTTATATCGCATATTGTAGTGTTATTGTTGTAATTTTGTTAATAATTGAATTCTAAACATTGCATATAAAAACCAACAAATATTGTTTAATTGTACACGGTGATTTTACGGGGGATGTTTCATGGCATTCTTTTATAGCAATGTTTCCGGGTTTCCGGTTTATGGAGCAGCGATGGCGGACGTTCTCCCTAAACCGCGGGAGAGCGATCTGCATACCAGCGGTTTGGAGGGGTGCTACCTCAAGTGACACCCCCACAGAGCCTTTGCGATAGGCTCCAGGCCAGAGGGCTTTTGAGGGGTAGCCTCTTCGACGGCAGAAAGCTGGAGAATTGAGGCTCCCCTCCGCCCTGACGGTCCAGCCGCTGTGTGGCCTCCGGGCACAAGCTGGTTTAACTGGGACAAGTGCCGGAGATCGAACGGAATGGCGTTTAAAGTGAGCGAGGTCAGAGAAACTGACCGACAATGAACGTGAGTTCAGAATAAGCCGGATTATTGTAAAAGCGGATCCCCCCCCCACTCTGGCAAAAGGGGCTTTGTAGTTTATTGCAAAAATAAAAATATCCCTTCGGGGATTAAAAAAAAAAGAAAAAAAAAAGCAATGTTTCCCAACCTGTGGTTCAGGACCAAAAAGTAGGTCTTATGAAGCCTCTGAAAGTGGGTCAGGGGCCAGCCCTCCCTAATACTCACCCCTGCCCTTCCCATTGTTCTCTTTTGTATTTTGGAAACCAAGATCTGACCTTGGAAACAGTATCTGGCCTGTCATACATTAGTTGGTATTTTTTTCTTCCCTGCATATTCCTGTTGATCAAATAAAATGTGTCCTGATGGTTACTAGAGTGAGTTTCTTAGAGTCTTAGGGGGGATTTGAGAGAGTAATGGAGAAGGAGAGGGTGGGCAGAGGAATGTAACAATGCTCCCTCCAAGCTGTGGAGTATTGTCAGCAAAAATTCTACTTTGTGAGCTACTGGCATTAAAGTTGTGAGCGAGCGATCTGGCTGCTGCATAAATTAGTTTGCTCTGGAGCCATCCTTCCTGGGCTGAGACAAAAATCTGTGAACCGGAGGCTAAAAAACTGTGAACTAGCTCACACTAGCTCAGCTTAGAGGGAACACTGTTTGTGAGCTAGTGGCATTGAAGTTGTGAGCAAGCAATTTGGCTGCTGCATCAATTAGTTTGCTCTGGAGCCATCCTTCCTGAGCTAAGACAAAAATGTGTAAGCCGGAGGCTAAAAAACTGTGAGCTAGCTCACACTAACTCAGCTTAGAACTGCTTCTTTAGGGTTCATAGTGAGGGCAGCGGCACCCTTTGTGTGATGCTCATTGGTTTCTCAAAAATGTCTGTTTAGCCAGTAGCCACAGTGGAAAATGGTATGCTGAACTAGATGGGTACCAAGGTCATAGTTTGCCTAGGGTGCCAAAAAAAAAAAAAATTGGCCCAACCATACTTGGGTCCTCATACCAAATATGTGGATTTTTGGGTCACCGTATCAAAAAGGTTAAGAGCTTCTGTTTTATAGGATCCATTCCCTTGTAAGAAAGGAAGTGTTGGAGATCTGTGGTGCTCTTTGCAACACTGATAGGCGGGCCTGTAGCTAACATTGGTCCCATGGGGCCCAGCCCCCTAGTGTTTCTTGTGGGCCCCCTTGCTCCCGGGCTGCCCCCAAAGTGCTCCAACTTACCACCTGCACTGTACTTTCACTGA